TTCTGTTGTTTTAACTTACCTGTAACTGTCAGCTAATAACTAACTTGTAGATAATCCTGTATTATAGTGATTTAGTGCAGACAGGTAAAGATGTCTTCTGTTGTTTTAACTTACCTGTAACTGTCAGCTAATAACTAACTTGTAGATAATCCTGGATTATAGTTATATTGAGTTAGTGCAGACAGGTAAAGGGGATTATCTACAAGTTAGTTATTAGCTGATAGTTACAGGTAAGTTAAAACAACCGAAGACATCTAACTCAATATAACTATAATCCAAGGTAAAGATGTCTTCTGTTGTTTTAACTTACCTGTAACTGTCAGCTAATAACTAACTTATAGATAATCCTGGAGTTATATTGAGTTAGTACAGACAGGTAAAGATGTCTTCTGTTGTTTTAACTTACCTGTAACTATCAGTTTGGCAGAAGAACTTTCCACAATGAAACCTGTAAGACGATTTCGCGTTTGACATCTGTAACTATGGTAAGCATCCTTGCGCTGAACGTCCTTAACTAGCAGTTCTCCAGATGGTAGCAAGCTGTGTTTACCACCTGCAAGATAAAGTGTTCACAGCAATAAACATCTGCCACTGATATGTTAATATTTCAGTCGTGGGTAGGTAGATGCTCATTTTGTAAATTATAAATAAGTTCATACTTCAGTCTTGGATCGACAGATCCCTATTTTTGGAGCTAAATGTATGTTAATGTTTCAGTCTTGGATCGATAGATCCCTGTTCGTGGAGTTATATGTATGTTAATATTTCAGTTTTGAATCGACAGATTCCTATTTGTGGAGCTATTTGTATGTTAATATTTCAGTCTTGGATCGATAGATCCCTATTTGTCGAACTACACGTATGTTAATATTTCAGTCTTGAATCGATAGATACCTATTTGTGGAGCTATATGTATGTTAACATTTCAGTCTTGAATCGATAGATACCTAATATTTCAGTCTTGGATTGATAGATACCTATTTGTGGAGCTACACGTATGTTAATATTTCAATTTTGGATCGACAGATCCCTATTTGGGGAGCTATTTGTATGTTAATATTTCAGTCTTGGATCGATAGATCCCTATTTGTGAAGTTATATGTATGTTATTAGTTCAGTCTTGGATCGATAGATCTTTATTTGTGAAGCTATATGTATGTTATTAGTTCAGTCTTGGATCGATAGATCCCTATTTGTGGAGCTATATCTATGTTGATATTTCAGTCTTGGATCGATAGATCCATATTTGTGGAGCTATATGTATGTTATTAGTTCAGTCTTGGATCGATAGATCCCTATTTGTGGAGCTATATGTATGTTATTATTTCAGTCTTGGATCGATAGATCTCCGTTTTTTAAGGTATACTTACATTAATCTTCCAGTCTTGGGAAAAACAGATCCCTGTTTGTGAAGGTATACTCAGACTAATATTTCAATTTGGGATTGATAGATCTTCGATTCGTAAGCCATACGTATTTTAACAACCCATGAATGAAAGCACATGATATGTTATTATAATATTACAACCATAATACATCTGTAATATTTAGTGCCGGCTATGTTTATTCACCCATTACCAGGGCTCATCAGGCCAGCTGGGATACAGTAGTGGTCTAGGCACGTTATGCATGTAATTAATTCTTATGGACAACAACTGTTATGATATGAAGCAGATTAAGCCTTAAGTAAATAAACAGTGACATTACTGGTATTATGATTCAAAGCACTTTAATCAGTATATTATTATATTCCAGTCATTATCTATATAAATATAATAGTGTTGTCTGTTATCTATATAAATATAATAGTACTGTCTGTTGTATGTTATCTGTATACATATAATAGTGTTGTCTGTTATCTGTATAAATATAATATCAATGTCTGTTGTATGTTATCTGTATAAATATAATAGTACTGTCTCTTGTATGTTATCTGTATAAATATAATAGTACTGTCTGTTGTCTGTTATCTATATAAATATAATAGTACTGTCTGTTGTATGTTATCTGTATACATATAATAGTGTTGTCTGTTATCTGTATAAATATAATATCAATGTCTGTTGTATGTTATCTGTATAAATATAATAGTACTGTCTCTTGTATGTTATCTATATAAATATAATATTACTGTCTCTTGTATGTTAGCTGTATAAACATAATAGTACTGTATGTTGTATGTTATCTGTATAAATATAATAGTACTGTCTCTTGTATGTTATCTATATAAATATAATATTACTGTCTCTTGTATGTTAGCTGTATAAACATAATAGTACTGTATGTTGTATGTTATCCATATAAACATAACAGTACTGTCTGTTGTATGTT